ATAATATGATAACAAGATAGCCACAACAAGTTATGTAAGTGCAATGATGCAATCCCATCAACCATATCCCTCACTTTGGGGGATTTTCAAGAGCCGAACCCGGCCTATCCCTCACTATGGGGGACGTAAGGAGCCCAAAAAGGCCTATCTCTCACTCTAGGGGACGTAGGGAGCCAAAAGGCCTATCCCTCACTATGGGGGACGTACTGAACCAACCATCATGCATTAATGGAGGTCTTACCACGTGGTAATAACTATCAAAAACTCTCACCAATTCCCAATTCATGCATCATGCTCAAACCATAATCAAATAGTAATTGAACATTTCATAAGTAACTTCATTCAGTGGCATATCTTTCACAATTCCAAGATTTATTCATTACCAATCAAAACCCCACAAGACGGTTTTCCTTTCTATATATACAACATACAATTTGAATATAATTGTTACTCAAAGCACAAAACATGAATCTACTCACAATACCACAGAAGCAAGTACCAAGGATTGGAAAGTGGTTACCTCTCGCCTGAGCAAGGAATAACAAATCCACAATGTGGCCTCGCGCACCAACAAGACTCACAACCGGTCTACACAAGCACACAAACACACAACCACCATATATTAGCTTTCAAACTAATAATGTGGCCAAAACAACACTTGGGGACACAAAATTCCTATCTCCCATCAAAAGTCTACCCAACTCAAAGGGTATAACTATCAAGGCAACACTCTAAAGTCATACCAATCCATTAAAACCTTAATTTCTTTCCAAACATCAATTAAAATTCATAACCTCAAGGACCCACTATAGGAATTCTACACCCAAACATCCCATTTGAGCAATTAAGGTTCCAACAACAAATCTAAACCGATTAAACATCCAATTTAACCCCCTTTGACATAACCCAATTCACAAAACTCAAAATCAATCTCTACATTGTCATCCTCAATCCCAAATCACCTATTTCCATAAACCCTAACTCCAAAAATTCAAGATTCTTTAAATCCAAGAAAACTACACCGATTAAATACTTAGACTAACCCAAAGCAATCAATTAAACTCAAAACAATCGGTCAAAAACCTCAGTTCCATCACAACTTAGAAAATCCTAGGGTTCCACCAAAAATCCTCAAAAATTCCAAGAAAGAAAGTAGATTAGAGGTTAAAATCACTTACTTGAGGTAATGGATCCTTAGAAATGTCTTTCCCAAGCCTCAACACTGAAACCCTAGCAGAGCTCCTCTCTCCTCCTTCAGATTTTCTAATTTCGCACAATTGAACCCTTCAGCGTCTATATAGATTCGCGACCTTTCGCCGCGGCGAACTAATCCCGAGAGGGATTACTCGCCTGAAAACCCCACTTCGCCGCGGCGAACGCTCCCCGAAAGGAAACTCTCGCTCGCCTAGAAAACATTCGCCGCGGCATACCCCTGCCTTCGCCGCGGCGAAACCTTCTCGAGAGGGAAACCCTGCTCACCTGAACAACTTCACCGCGGCATTCCCAAGACTTCGCTGCGGCCAAACCTGCCCGAAAGACAACCCCTACCTGGAACTCTCGGTGCGCCGCGGCGAAGTTTTACTTCGCCGCGGCGAACATACCCTGAAAGGGGTACGTTTACCTATTCTTCCAACATACCTCAAATCCAACCCAAACACCAAGATCAAGATTAAATCACTAATCTATCCTCAAAATCAACCCAAAAGAGGCTATTAAAACCCGATAAAAACTCAGGATGTTACAAGTATAGCTGCCACTTGGCTCCCAGTGGTTGGCATTAACATTCTTAGAGCTCTCGGTATCACCCTTCCTTTGGCCGGGTCAAGGGTCAGCCAAGGGACATGACACCTTTCCATACTCCAAGGAAAGAGAACCCATGGTCTGATATGAGCTCTGTAACTTTTAGCCGAGTTACACCTCATTATTGGAGAGCTTGGTGCAGTCTTGTAAAAGAGACGAATCCTGTTATGTGTGAATAGCCCATGGGTTCTGTCAGAGGTTACAAGGAGGTTATAAGGATGGTTGATGAAGTTCTGTACATGCAAGTTATTTTTGAATTATTATATATTATTTTCTGTAAAGATGTTTAACTTAGATGTTATTTGAAATTGTACTTTGCTCGCTTAGCTATCTTGTAATCACTCCTTGGATACTTGTTGAATTGGAATTGTGGTTACTGGGTTAATTTGACTCATCTGTGGTTATTTAACATTTTTCAGGTGAGGGTTCAGGTGTTGGTTCCAAGGGAAAGGTGTCCGAGGCTTGAGTTTTCCTTTCCACTCTGTATAGCCTCTATTTTGATATACATGATTTGACTCATGTATATTGCCAAACTTTAGGGCCTTTTTGTTATACTTAACATAATTTTAATTTTTCCGCTGCATTCTAAACTTGTACTATTGGGCGGAGCCCTTTTTGGACATATGTGATTGTTATTTTGATTGCACTTGATAATGCGTAGCAGTGGTAGTTGTTTTGATGGACTTTAAATGCCCTAGCCCATTTACAATTGGTCTTAATTGTATTTGAGATTCCAGAGTATTGCTGATAGATTTGATATATACATGAAAAATCAAATGATGATCCTTTCTTATTTGATTAACTATCCTTACTATTCTAGAACAGTAGCTACTACTCTGTTAAAGATTTGGATTGTTATTGACTATGGTAGATTTCTATTTGATTAGGTTTGTCCTCCTTACCATGGTTAACCTTTTAAAGCAATTATCGTTTTGAAAATGCTTACTTACCATGAATTACGGGGGTTGTTACAAAGTGTATTAGTTTGATCTATTATTATTAAAAAGATTACCTTGAAAGAAAATGGATAAATATAAAAGACAAAGTGGATTGGAGTCTTATATTTAGAACCAAAATAAAAATCAAATAAGCTCTTATATATTAAGGACAAGAAGTAATATAAAGTAACGGTAGTTTGTCCAAGTTAACGGTTTTGCCAAAATTGCCCCATTTTGAAAAGGTTATATATAATTTTGCACTCAAATAAATTTCATCGTGATAGATACCTATAGATGAAAACTTTGTTATTAAAATTATACCTTAACCCTAAAAAAAAAGAAGAAATAATCATGGTACGGTATTCTTAATTTTCACATCTAGTTAGGTATAAGACTTATTTTAGAATAATTTATAAACAGCTTTTAAATCATAATTTACAAAATAGAAAATAAGCTTTAAAGAAGAGTTTTATCTTAGCTTACGTAAAATATGTTTATAAGCGATTTCAAACATGATTTGAGTCTGCATGCCATGTTTAACGAATGAGATGATATACCCCTCCTCCTTTTTTGGAAAAAATAATTTCTATTAATTTTGTTTTTTATTTATTTGGATTAATTTGTATTTAGCAATCTAAATATTTTTTTACAGCACTGATTATCCTAAATTAATTTATCTTTAATTCAGTATCATGAAGTATTTTTCTAGTAACACCTAGTGTTTTGAATTAATTATTTTTTTAATAAATCCATCATCCTAAAGTATTTTTTCAGTAGCACCCACCTAGCATCCTAAATTAATTAATTTTTACTGTATTCATTATCCTAAAATTTTTTTACCGTAACACCCAGTGTCCTAAATTAGTTATTTTTAGTGAATCAAGTATCTAGAAGTAATTTTTTAGTAGCATCCAACATCTTAAATTAATAATTTTTAGTGCATTCAATATCTTAAAACATTTTTTAGTAACACCCGGTATCCAAAATTAATTATTTTTTAGTGAATCCAACATTTGGAAGTATTTTTTCAGTAACACCCACTATCCTAAATTAATTAACTTTTAGTACATTCATCTTTTGTAGTTTTTTTTGATAACATTCAGTATTCTAAATTAATTAATTTTTAGTAAATTTAGCATTTAAAGTATTTTTCAATAACATCTAATATTATAAATTAACTGATAGTGCATTCAGCACGCTAAATTATTTTTCTAGTAGTCTCATTAACTTTAAAAAAAAAATCTTGATGCACTAAAAATTAATTAATTTAAGATAATAAGTGTTGCTTAGAAAATATTTTAGAATGCTAGATACAAGTTAACCGAAATAAATAAAAAAATAATATTAATGAAAATTGGGGGGGGGGGGGAAGGAGGTGGTATCTCATTGCCAGATGAGGAGGGAACACCGATTCCTGCTTGAAAGGGAGTGCTTGCCTATTCCTCTAGCTTATTTTAGCATTGTTTATCCATGATTAAAGGGTAGACATTTTTCTTTTTTTTTTGGCTCGAGTGATAGAATTGGTTAAAAAGGCCCTTTTTCGCGGGGAAAGAGCAAAAGCCTGGAACTAATTTTCTTAATTTTATACTCATTTTTTACACCAACAGTCTAAAATGACTTATCAAGAGCCAGTAATATGAGTTGTCCATGAGTTCAACTCGCTAGCTTGTCAAAACTAAACTGGTTCAAGTTAACTAAAAGCCGTCCTGTCTGAGTGCATACCTTTTTCACGCTGTCATGACTGCAACTCAAGACGAGTAAGACTGCTAACCCCAAAGCTAACCCGCAATAATTATTTTTTGTCTGTTTTATAAAAAGGTTGAAAAAATAGTTTTTTTGAAAAAGGTAAATAAATAAGATAGGCTCAGGTTGCAATCCGGCTGTAAGCGGGCCTTTTTGGCCCAAAGTGGCTAGGGGCGACCCGCATTAACACCCCTCCAGAATGCCAATAGAAAGGGTTTTCCCTCCCGCCAAACACAATTTCAAGGAGACTCCACAGCTTATTTCCTCGTTCAGAGCCATACCATAATCAAACCCGAAATGCCATTTATGTTACTGAATGAGAGTCTTCTCTTGTATCACCTACCAGTTAGGAAAAATATTTTTCCGCAACATCATGGCTGGCAGCAATATCAGCAATGATTGCTATTATATCATCAAATCGAAGAACTAATTTAAGGGCATGAGGAAGCGCCACTTGTTGATTTGTCATTCAGGTCACTGAGGCGGAACAACAGGGGAGCAGCTCAAAACCCTGCTTTTACATACACATAATAGATGGATTTCAAAAGTACATATAAAACAAAAAGATTACAGATTTTAGAGGACTTTTATGATGGCAATCTTGTGTCTCACTCCCAAGCATAATATGAAAGCCATTTTGATCTATAATTTGCAAATTGCTATATACAAAGCACAGTCTTTGCTGCAAATCAATGGTAACCAATATGAATTTGTGCTGTACTTTCACTTATGAAGGCCGTAATCCAAATTTTAAGGCAAGAATGGCTGCCGTAACCAGCAACCCTACCAAGCATAACAGTGCCTGCAAGATTATCAAAATGTCACTCTTAGTAATCAACAGGGATGCATAGTTATTATTCTTGGTCTAGTATGATTTTATTGACTAATAACGGATAACCAATATTCAATGACAAAACATGAGTATTTATAAGTTGCGAATAGAGTGACTTATTCTTCAAGTTCCGTATAATACAAGGGAAACTCATCTAGTTATGCATAAACCACCATGGATACATAATATTGTATTTCTTGATTTTCATACAAAATTAACATTGTTTTGCCTCCATTTGAGCTATCAAATTTCCAAGTATTTTGCGCTATCATTTTCCAAGAAAAGTACCAAGTGAAAAGATGATCTATATTGTTCAACATATCCATGCAAATGAAGGAAAGAACTTTTAAAAATCCCATCAAAATGGAACCTCCCTCGCTCACTATCTCTTCTCTCTCCTTCCCTCTCTCTCTCTCTCTCTGGGGGTTTTGGAAGTTTATATAGCAAAAACAAGTTCCACCAACATCCTTTTTGCCTGATCTGAGACGAGTTGAGCTAGCTGACACAGCTGTACATTTCTAAGGTTACCAGAACACAACTGTGCTTTAATGGACTTTGATTATCCAAGTTACATGCTTGAAAAGTGTTCTAAAGAGAGAGAAAGATAAAAAGAGAAAAGAGATAATTGGTGGAAAAAGAAGAAATGATCCCCCTGAATGCTCACAACCCACCTCCCTATGTTGCATTCTCTTCCACCTCAAAAGCTTTACTATTTCAATAATATGATTGATCTCATTCTAGGGCATCATATGAGCACGCAAACAGACAAAGAGAGAGGGGGGCAAGAGAGAATGTACAGCGATTGCAGAAGCTCCAAGCCCTGCGCGTTCTCTTGGATCCTTCCGATAATGTTTTTGAAAATAGAGAATTGTCCCATAAAACCACATAACTGGGCAAAGAAATCCCAAGAGAAACCTGGAACTCAACATAAACAGCCATGAGACAAGAACATAGAAATCGGAAAAGAGAGTTGATGAAAGTTACTTACGAAAACCATCCAATTCCACATCCATAAAATGGAAGAGGCTTGTCATAAAGTCCTTGTTGATAATCCTCTGGATCTCTCAGTAGGGCATACTTGCCCTTTTCCCGATCTGCAGTTGGCCGTAAAACCAATTAGTGCTCATAAAGAAAAGATGTCAAAACATTAAAATGTTGAATATAAAGAGACACATTTGCTACAGGGTTAGCATTGCTGTTACAGAAGCCTGAACATCATTTAACTTGAAACACTTGACCCAGGTCTATGAAAAGTCATACTATGAATGGTGTCAAGGGTCAATTCAACTTGAAAGAAGTTTAGTAAAGGCCAATGATTTTATTAATTTCTTTAGCAAGCCCCATCACATGAAAGGCTCAAGTTTGCTGACCTCTCTGCTAATACTTGAATGAACAAGAAAAATATGGAAGGCAAGGATCATATCATGGCTGCTTGATAGAGGTTCTAATAACATGTCAAAAGTTAATTCAACTTAAAAACTTCAAGCAATCATGTGGTGATACAACATTGGTTCTTTTAATATCTGTAAACAAGGGCAACTTCCTGATAAAAAAATTGGCCCAGGGCTTCATACTGTAAGGGACTAAGGCAGTCGCGGGGAAAAATGAAGCAAGCAGCTATATTGTGAAAATATCTACCAATTTTGTCATGTTTTGGAAAACAACATGTCTTAAAGCAGATTCTAGAAGACAAATTAAACCCCATAACGGTGTGATGCCCCCCACTAAAAGAGGAGAAAAACAGAGGACGAATTAAATATTTTGGAACCATCAATATGCTAATCCAAGCTTTCTATGAAATCTAATTGGAATAAGTGACTCATAACTTGCAAATCATGCCAGAGAACAACAAAGGAGTAATTGAAAACAGAATGCAAACCTTTAAAAGCGTATTTTGGATTTCAGATATCTTGCCTATTAAACAACGAGAGGGATTTTCACCTTTAAATATTGAATAATATCGAGCTGATGGTCTCAAAAGATCCCGATGCTTTTCAGAGACTGCTTTTGTCAATTCAACACCTTTTTTCAAATCAATAGTCTCTTCTACCTTAGCATCTGTAACACCAAAGGTGAAATTGCGTTATAAGCGTATCAAGTTGCATCCTTTACAGTGAAATTACCATGAAACTGTCTTTCAGAAGAACAACTGAACAAATGGAATTATAAATATAATATATTGAAGTTTGATTACCTTTCTCCATGGATTCAGAGGATAGGTTGCAGGACAAACCTTCAGCTGTTCAAGAGATACTCAAAATCCCTGCTATGCAAATCATAAACAGAAGACCATCATTTGCTGGACCAAAATGTTCTAATCAGAAGCCAATAGCAATACGGGATCAAATGAAAAAATGACCCTTGCAGGACTATGAAGCACAGCAAGTTCTCCATTTGTTTAATTTAAAGCACTATGTCCAACAATTACGCATTGGAGAAATGTTCTTTTGCAATATCAATGATCCTGAACTATGTAAAATTTCCCAGATAGGGTTTCTAATTTGAAAATCTGAATAATGTAAAACACCAAAAATTGCAAAAATACCCTGTTCATATGTTATGAGAAACGGGGGAATTGAAGTCAAGATTGCAATATATTTCAATCAATCATATTTGATCATATGAAGGGGAAATTGTTATTATTGCAGGAAAACCCAATCTGCCAGGGACAAACCTTGAATTATCCTGAAACAAATATCCAAATTCATAAGTGAACCTCTCCTAATTCCTAATTCCAGTTCATATAAACTCCAGTGAAATTCTATTATTACATGCAGCATTAAGAAATCATACGGAGATCGGAAAAATTAACAGGCAAAATCAGAATTCGCCAATTCTCCGTCAACCTAAGAAACGAAAGAGCCAAGAAAGAAAGAGACTTCATCATTAGCACCTAAGGAATCCCCAGATGGAAAATCAAGTACCCAATGGGAAACCAAAACAATTGAGAATTAAACAAACACCAGAAAATTGAGAACAATTCGGGAAGAGGAAAAAAAAAAAATCACTTGCCTTGGAAGAGCAGGAAATTCAGCCAGGATGAAAGAAAGGAACTGAAAATATTTAAAACATGAAGAAGAATGTCTCTTTCTCTGCACAAGGCAGTCGTTTTACGCGATGAGCTATTGGTGCTTCTTCCCTTCCATTTGTCCTCCTTTTGATGCAGAGAGCCCCCTTCTTCAACATCAAACAACCGGGTCTGAGAGCTGTAGAGAATTGACTAAACTATATTAACTTTTAGTGTTCTAAATTTGTTTTTCATATTAAAAAACTAAAAATGAAGACGAAGAAAAAGTTGGTGATAAATATTATTTATGAAATTTCTGAAAAAAGTTTTTTAAAAAATAAATAAATTTGATTATTTAGTCTCTACGCATTGTGTTCCACTTTGGCTGCTTCCTCATGGATATTTCTTTGACGTTAGGTATGAGTTTTTATTTTTTTATTTTTTTTGTTATCTTAAAAATGAAAAGTGACATCGCTTTTTTTCTTATATTATATTTATATTAGAATATTTGATAATAAATACTCCTTCAGTTATTTATTATCAAATAAAAATTTGACTCCTTCAGTTTTTGTCCACACATCAAAGTAGTTATACTTGCAACTTATATGTGAATGATTCCGAGCAAATCAAATTGTATTAAATAGTGTTGCTAAAATAATAAAAATAAGATAGCCCCTTTTTGTGGGGGGGGGGGGGGAATTGTCCCTTGTATAGTTGGCTAATGTCTAAAAATATTTATAGTAAATAAATTTATAATATTTGGACTAATATTAAGTTAATGATACTTAAAATAATATAACATTGTTTTTTTTTAACCTTGAATGGTATACCATTTTTAACCATTTATAAGTTGTAATCAATTGATAGTGTCTGGAAAAAAAAAATCAATTGATGGTGTGAGAATATCTTTTGTTCCAAAGATGAAACAGAGTTATTTGAAAATTTTGCAAATGAAATTTTAAGGTAAAATATACTTTTATTTTCCTAACTTCATGTAAAGTTTTAATTTAGGCATTTAATTTTAAAAAATATTTTTTTTAATTCTTCAATTCTAAAACTGTTAAGAAAAATGATGATATTAAAATTTTGAACGATGATAAAATATTATCAAATGTTAATATATTAGGTCTAATTTTTAAAATAATCATGATTGCTATAAAAAATTTATTATTTAAAATTAATAACTTTAGCATTAAAAAGTTAACAATATATTATTTTAACATTAAGAAATCAAATTAAAATTCTATATAAAGTTAAAGTAGGGAATGAATTAGTTTAGCTTAGATTTTATTCAAAGGATAAGTATTAAGTAGTACAATAATATAAGAGAATGCCGTTACGTGCGAGGTTTTCTATCCTTTAGATATGTTATTTTATTTTTGTTTGCCAATGTTGATATATTATTTTATTAGGCTGTTATTTTTTATTGCTAATGTGTAATTTTTAACATAATTCATATGCCCACCGTATCTTCTTCCATAAATCCGAACTTCAAATGCATAATTTACAAATTCATTTAATAAAGGGGTTTTCATCCCATAAATGCAATATATAGATAGAAAAAAAGTAACAAATAATTTACGAATTAATAAACTGATGAATAATTTTTTTCTTCTATACATTTTATATTATAAACAGTCTCCAACCACCGGCAAATGGCAGAGTTTGATAATTGTAATCACTCTAATAAGTGGATAAGGCAAGGCATCAGCATCAACAATGGACATTCATTGTATTAAAGTGAATTAGGGAAAATGATAAAAAAAAAAGATGAAAATTTGTAAATACTAAATAAGGAATGTCAACAAAAAATTATTATTATTTATAAATTTAATATTGTTAATACCAAATAAAGTGTTGTTAATAAATCTTATTTGGGATTTGTAATTTTCAGCTTTTTTTTTCATTCTCCCTTATTTAAATTACCGTGTAAATTTTTTCTTAAAAAAAAAAAAGGTTAGGTACAATTAAAATAAAGATATTGGGTTAAAATGTAAAAATATCTGAGAAATATTTCCTGAGGAGATGTTGGTTATGACCCTAAAATATGTTAATTATTTGAAAAAAATTATATGTTAATTTTCATAAAATACCCTCTATAATCATTATTGTATTGAAAATACTCATTAGAAAAAAAAAAAAAAAAGAGGGTATGGACATGGCTCGAACGAGGGAGGAAAAAAAAAAACTTGCTGGCACATAAAGCGGGCGAATTCAAGGAGCCCACGTCTGCAACGGCCAACTCAGCGAAAGCTCCCTGGAAAACTGGCGTAATGCAACTCGAATCAGATCACCTTCAATAAGATAGTAGAAGATACCTATATTTAATAAAAAAATATTTTTTATGTTTTCATGAGTTGACATTAATATTAATCTCCGCTAGTATTTTGATACAGTAAATAACTTATAATTAATTAAAGGGATAAGGATTATTTTGCAAGTATGGTATTCAAAAAAATTTTATAATTCAATATCATTTAGAAAATACTAAAAAAAGAGCATCGCCATCCCAACAGTTAAAAAACTAATATGTTACTTCTTATTTTTACTATAAGAATTATTTAACTAATTTGAGTAGATTAATAAAGTTTATTAAATTATTTATTTATAATAAATAGATATTATTTCTCCTAAAATACTTTTACTAATAATGTGTATTAGTTAGAACAATTATTTGATGAAAAATCTAATATATGTAATAATTATAATGTCTATTTTAAAAATAAATAAATAAATATAAGAGGCAAAATAAATTAGGGATCTTATATTTAGAATCAAATAAAATATTAAACTGACTTTTATATTAAAGAAGTAATATAACCCACCCTTAATGTTTTCCAATTTTTTGGTGTTTGTTTGATTCTGTAACGTTTTTATTCCATTGGACGCCCGATTATTTCATATGGAGAGTGACATGTCATTTGTCATTATATGAGGCATTCTTTTTAGCTTAACCCAATATTATTGGATATTTTCAATTATATGGTTTAACAAATAGATATAACATTGGGCCTTCATTTGCCTTTTATAGTTTTATATTTAAGGCTTTAAAACACACATTTACTCTTTTAATTTTACACAAGATTTTAATTTTAAAAATATATAATTTTAGTTTTTTAATCTTAAAATAATTTAAAAATAATATTGAGATTTTAAATGTTGATAAAATGTTATCAAATGTTAATATTAAATTTAATTTTCAAAATAACTATGACTATTATAAAAATTATTATTTAATACTAATAATTTTAAGATTAAAAAAAACTAAAAATATGCTTTTTAAAGTTAAAAGGCAAAACTAAAATTTGATATAAAATTAAAGAATCAAATATATACTTTAACCTTGATATAAAATATGGCAAAAGTACACTTATATTTTTGATTTTGTAACCTTGTATAATATTTTATAAAGTATTTTTTAGTCTTAATATTAAAGCCATTAAAAAAATTCTAATATTAAAGCTTTAGATTTTAGGGAAAATATTTTCAAATGCTCACATATAAAATTTAATTTTTGAAATAAGACTAATTATTACAAAAAATTATTATTATGAAATAAGACTAATTGTTACAAAAAAATTGTCATTTAATTGAAAAGATAGAGATTAAGATAACATAGTATTTAGATTTAAAGGACCAAAAGAACACTTTTACTCACTTATATTGATATTGATAATGATAATTTTTATTAAAATATATGACATTTAATAAACTAACAACAAAAGTTAATTTTTGCTGTTTTTGTATTGCATTGATTTCAAAGCCAACATGTCACCAATTTTTCAAATTTTTTGTTTTATTGTTTTAGGAATTATATCCTTACTAATATTTTAGATCTTACCTGGTTAGCCTTGTTTAGTTCAGCACTTGTTTTCAATCTGCCAATGACATTTGTTTTTTTCCCCCCTCATGATTCATCTTTTAATTAACTTTTGTTATTAATACCTTCATTTTTTCCTCATAAAAATTTAAATTCACCTGTTTCTACACTAATACAACCTTTTTATAGCGTTGGTAAGATGGAATTGATTATTAAATTTGAATAACACTCCTAAATTTTTTCAAAATGATTGGTAGACTTTTAAAGTAACTCATAATTGATTAAGATTTCTCGATATCATGATCAACATGTCAATGCCTGAATAATCCTTTCCAGAGAGAGAGGGAGGTATCACAAGAAAGCAATGGACTTAATTAAGCAAATTACAAGACATGCTAAGTTAGTGTGTATATTGTTTCTAACAACTGCCTGAGCACAGATCCAATCCATTACTGCAGTATTATTTCCGTCTATACCCATATGGAACGCATTCTCGTACTTCAATTGAAGTAATAACGGTGTAACATCACCCTCAGCTCTTGACCGTTCAAGGCACCATCGTTACGATAATTTGTTAATCAATATTAGACATTTTGAAAAAGGTTGAACTAATATGAGCACTATACTCATATGCTCCTATTTATTAGGCAATTCCAATATATTTCACACAGATCAAGAAAAAGCTTAAACCGTATTAATTTTTTATTAAAATATAATAACTTTTTAATTTTATCCATATTTAATACCCCTCCAGTCCTTAATATAGAACCCAATTATTGAGTTGGTTTTGATCATAAATATAAGACCTATTTCTCATATTTATCAATTTTCTTTAAATTATTCCTATAAATACTCCTTCAACTATAATCAAGTAGAAGAGGAAGATAGTATTAAAAAAGATGATTGTGGTATTTTAGGAAAAACGTGTCACATTTCTTATAATTAACTAACTTACCTAACTTTCTTAATCTAATCAAATTAGTTAAATAGGTCTTATATTAAGGACCGGAGGAGTATATATGTTTTTTTTAAAAAATAATTATCTATACTATAATAAATAAAGAATAAAATAGTTCATTCATACTAAAATTTTAATAAAATAACTTATAAATAAAATTAAGAAAAATGTTTTTCTTAGCTTTATAAATAGAATTAAGGAAGTATGCCTTGTATACTACTCGCCTTGAAGACGGCGACGAGGGTGATTCAAATTCGGGAAGCGATGTATCGTGCCATCTGAGTAGATAAAGCACATGCACCGTCCGTCCGTCTATGTGAAACAGTTTTTTACATGGAGTTGATGTTAAACTGCTCCACAAAGCTAGTCTCTTAAATGGCTCAATAGCCAGTCCCTGAAATATTTATTATAAAACTAGTTTAGGACCCACGCAACGCATGTGTGTATAATTTTTTTTGTTACAAAAAAAAATCAAATGAATTAGGTCTTGAGAACTTATTAGGGTCATTGTTCACCTTTTTAAAGGTACTTACCGATCATCCACTAACAAGATTCTCACATTGGTAGTAGAATTCAAACTCACAATCTTTTAGATTATGGGCCGACCCTTTACCAATTGGATTAACTCTTATTAACGGGTGTATAAAATTTGAAATCCCAGGTGCTGACGCATATAATGAATGAAACCGTTAAGTAACAAATTGGAGGCAAAGATTAGACGTAAATATTATAGAAAATGAATATCCAAGATTAAAATTTTAATCCCTTCCTTTTGTCTCATGGGAGAGACAACAATAACATTTAAATTTCATATTTTCTCCTCTTTACATTATTTTCCTAGTTTGTTTTTTGGGAAGAATTTCTAGTTATTTATTACATTCAAAGTTTTTAATGGTTATTTATATGAATAAGATGATTCTTTGGCCTAGAGTTGGCATCATTTTTTTGATTTCCTAAAAAATTCGTGTGGCACTCTAAAATCCTAATATAATATTACGATAAATAATAAGAAAAACAAAATTCTCTATTGATAAAGAACTAATATATGAGGAAAAAACAAATATAAAAGTAAAAACCGATGCCCAAATTAACTTATATTAATGAAAAAAAAAACAACTATCCGAGAGCTAGAAATTGATTAATTTGAATACTAAACCACAACCAATTTGTCTTTAAGAAAATAAGAACACTTGAACTTAATCTTTCTTTTTATCCGTTTTAGTAAATCATTCAAATCAATTCTATATTTCCAAATAAAAAAAAATTCTCTCCTATCTCTATTTACGATCTCCAACTTAAGAAAGGAAATATTTCATGCCGCTAAATTACAACAAATATATTAGATTAATTTTTTTTTATCATCTTTGTCTCTTTTCTAATATTACCTCCGGTTCTAATTATAAGATTTCATTTATAAACAAGGTTTATAGAAGGTAGTTTTTTTTTCCTTGCAATTTTGATAAGGCATAACAAAAATTTTCACTCTGGCAAAAAAAAAAAAAGTAAAATTTTGTTCACATTTAATACATTTAATTAGGAGGAACACTGGTGGAAAAAAAAATTAGGAGGAACATTAAAAAAAAAGGGGGTTAATATAATCTTTAGTCCTTCAAATTTGTTTTTATTTTGGTTTTAGTTCCTTAAATTTTAAACCATGGGTTTTGATCCCTCAAAGGGTAAAATGGTATGAGATTTTATTAGATTATAGGGATCAATATTTTAAATAAAAAGAAATTTGAGAAACAAAAACCTAAAATTTGAAAATTGAAAAATAAAAATAAATTTAAATGACCAAATCTTATATCAGCCCAACAAATAAACATAAACAACTTTCTCATCTGTTATGCCCCTGAAAACTTTTATGGGAAAATTGCAATAAACTTTCATCTAAGGGAATCAAATATAAAAATGTGCTTTGAACTTATTAAATTAATTCAAAGTCTCAAGAGATTTTATTGTTAGAGATTCTACTTGTTTAGGTACTACCTTACCCTTATTTTTTTTAAAAGTATATATTGACAACTAAAAAAACGGTTATTACTAACTTAAGGTATAACAATTAACAACTATCGCGACAGATATTAACAACTTATGCATTACATTTTTCTGATATATTGAGAAAATATATTATTAATACTTACCAAAACAGTTATTAATCATTACATCCTAAGTTATTAATTACCACTTTTTTAGTTGTCAATGAATATAAAAAAATCATAATAATTTAATAATTAAACAAGTAAAATCTCTGAAATTTTTTAAAATTTCAAATTAATTTGATCATCTAAGGAAATTTTTTGGTATTTAATTTTCTATTGTAATTTTTTCAAACTTTAATGGATTTGACCTGGAGCGCCTCGACGCTGACCAAGAGCACGCGTGGCGCCCACCCAGGTTTGAGGTTACTCTGGAACGCCACGTTCCAGAACGCGCCAACGCCTTTCCAATCACCCTTCTGGAATGGACTCGTTTCGTTAGTCGCCTGTCTATTTCTACTCCTTTTTCTTCAACCTTCATCCCCATCCTCTTCCTCGCCTTGAGCAGTTTCTTCTAGTGCACGCTCTGAAAAGCCGAAACAGATACAGGTGTTGTCTGATTTTGGTGATGGGGGAAGAAGCCGGCATGGATGCTACTGAAGTGATCAGGCACCAAAATGGAGGCAGCAGTGATCAGAGTCTTGAATTTGACATATACCCTTTGAATAGCTACTACTTTGGCTCCAAAAATACCATTGCCTTCAAGGACGAGACCTTGGCTGATCGTCTTCAGAGAATGAAATCTAAGTTCGTTTTCGTTTTCTTTTTCTTTTCCTTGTTCGTTTCTGTCGGGAAGCCTTTTCTTACAGTTTCAACTTTTAACCGCCTTTTCGTTTTAGCTATGCTGCTCATGGGATACGAAATTGCGTGGAAGCCGTCATGCTGGTTCGTTCTCTACAATTTCTGTATTGCCCATTTGTTTGTCCACAGTATTTCAAGTTCAAAGAATTAAGATTTGAACTCCTTAATTTTAGATGTATTTGTGGGAATAATAATTTTCGATCACTAAGGCACCTAGATGCTTGTGCACAAAAGATATAACAAAAATTCGAATTTAATGTTTGTATATAGGTCATTTAAAGAGTCGTCTATGTGACTTAGCTGAGACCTTAGATTGCTGGGTTCTTTCTCATTTAGCTATCTAGGTGTTTCTCAGTCTCATTCATAGAACGTAGGTCCTGCATTCTTATATCCTTTGGGACTGGGAGGGGAGACTTGGCCTTGCCTGACTTGGATCAGAAAACAAGATAGAAATAGGTGCTGTGTGAATAAATGGGATATTCCTAAATTATTACTTAAGCTTGTTATTGTGATTGACTATCACAACTTTAAAATCTTTTAGTGCTCCCTCTTTGTGTAAATTCTTCACATCCTTATAATCTCCATATTTTGGTGATACCAGGCCTGGGTTTCCGCAACCTCATCACACTGTTTTATTATCCCATACTAGAAAGTTGGTTTTAGACATAGAGAAAGCCTGATGTAGTTGTGCAACGAGCATACTTCAAGATTGAGAAATCAGTTTATTTGGCAATATCATGGGTTTTCTTTTAAGGTCGTCTTCAGTTTTCTGTTCTACCGTGGGCATCCGTGCCATATAAGACACAAACTAATTTCTAATTCAGAGATATCATCTTGAAGCCTGTGGGGTATTTTCTTTGCATAATCTCTTCCAAGCTTCCTGTAGAAGGTTAACATATAAGATTCATATAGAAGATTGAAGTTAGGGTTGGTGAACTATACTTGAAGAATTTATTGATACTTCTCATCTTGATTACTGGTCATCTGGCTTTGCTGTTGAAACACTAGATATTGACATCTTTTGATACTGAGTCAAGATTCAGAATATGATTCTGAACTGAGAGAATGTAACATTCTTGGATCAGGTTGAGTTGTTCAAACACCCACATTTGTTGCTGCTACAAGTAAAAAATTCCATCTTTAAACTCCCGGGTGGTCGCCTAAGACCTGGCGAGTCAGGTAGGGGATCAAACTGCAAACTTTCTAATAGAATCTAAAAAGTTAATGCATTATCTGGGGATTTTTTTTTTCTCAAGCTCTTGCTAAAGTCAGGGGTTTCTGAATTTTCAGATATTGATGGATTAAAGCGTAAGCTGGCAAGGAAGCTTTATGCTGGTGAAGATAGGGATGGGGCTGAATGGGAGGTATTAAATTCGTATATTTTCTTTTGTGAACCTTACTGCATATAGAAATGCTGAAACGTATCTTACTTGATTTAGGTGGGCGAATGCCTTGGAATGTGGTGGAGACCTGATTTTGAAACTTTACTGTATCCGTACCTGCCACCTAATGTGAAGAGCCCAAAGGTACGCTATTCAAATGCTTCTTGAACAAGTTATGAGGGAAAATGTCTCATTCTCTTAAATCCTTTAACTGCAGGAGTGCACGAAACTCTACCTTGTGAAGCTACCAGAGTCACGACAGTTCATTGTGCCTAAGAATCACAAACTGCTTGCTGTCCCCTTGTGCCAAATTCATGAAAATCACAAGGTATGGGTTTCTATCAGTCATGGAAAATATATGGGTATGTTTGAGTATTCCATGCAGTACGCTGGAAATTTGTTCTGGACTGGAATTTCTTGGGAATATTTGATATTAGCTTGTGTGTCACTGGCCTGGTTTAGGCATAAATGACCCCCAAAAGATTATATGTAAACACTTGAGGTTAACTAGTCCTCATGTGTTCATTTTATCGCATGTGATGATGGTTTCACATTGGTACCCTATTTTATTTCTTTAACGTGTGGTTCTGACATTTTGAGCTGCCCGTGAAGTACAGACAATACAGAAAAAGGATTTATATGCTCACCAAACTGATTGGTTGTGTTTGTATTCCATTTATATTATTGGATATTCAGGCTAGACAAGATGTGACGCTTTAAGTTTGACATTAACTCGCAATTTTTTGGATGGGGTCTCATGTTGATGTGTCTGTGCTACTTTTGTTTGGGCATATTGCAGACATATGGGACAATCATATCAGGAGTTCCCCAGCTACTGTCAAAATTTTCTTTCAACATGATCGAGTCTTGAATGAAATGGCTGACTCACTAGTGACTCCCTCCTTGCTTATTTGGTTCCGTGCAGGGCCTTGTATATATTTTAGATTATATTATATGCCATCCTATAACAGAGTGATATTGTAAATTTTGTTTTTTTGTTTTTTTTACCAAAAGAGTGATGTTGTAAGTTGAAAACAGATGCATATATCATATATGGTTTGAGTATATTTCTCTTTTCCCTCATGACTGGAGTTCACGTAGCACACGAATGGTGTCAGTCGGGATCACTTTGCTCTTACTTTTATCTCTTTTCCCCTCCAACGTTAATTCTGACAGGAAATCGCATATTTTAAAGCAATTTTTGTCAGGATGTTTGGGTGAAGTTTCTTGATTTTAATGGAGGGGGCTGGACATGGAAGTTAAATTTATGTTGGCTTGTTCTCCTTTTTACCCATGTTTTTTTGGCCAAATTTATAAATACTTCTATATAATAATCCGTCATAAAATTTTATTGATATTTTATTTGTAATTTTTTTATTAGTTTTTTTAAGGACATTAATAAATTAATGATGTATCACCAATTGTTTTATTAATGCATTTCAAATAACAAACTAAATAACTAAAGGAAAATTGGGGACAAATCTCCGGTTAAAAAGTTAATACTTAATTGCACAATGGGTCCTGAATTTTTGAGATCTTTTCAAAAAAAAAAAAAGGAAAAAAAATCACTACAATACTCTTAATAAAATGCAATTAGAATGAATCATTACAGCTATAGATCAGAGATATGTGATTAGGATTATTGATATGCAATTAAATCTTATATACAACTAAGCATATGCAATATGCAATTAGGATTGAACATATGTAACTGGAAATTAATTATATATAATTAAGATTAGTATATGCAATTAAATTCTATATGCAACTAGATATCGTTAATATGCAATTAGGATCAAGCATATACAACTAGGCATCCTCAACATGTAATTAGCATCAATCATATGCAACTTGAGATCAGTGATATGTGATTAAGTATCGCTACTCCAGTCCTAAATATAAGACTCTGACTCTTTCTGTATTGTATATTTATACTACAAAAAAGGTCTTATATTTAGGACAGAAGAAATATATGCAACTAGGCATATGTAACATGCAATTAGGATTAAGCATATGCAACTGAGGATCAATGATATGCAATTAGGATTAGTGATATGTAATTAGGTTATATATACAACTAGGCATCCTCAATATACAACTGGGATCAAAGATGTGTAATTTGGGATCAAGGATATATACTTAGGATTAGTGATATGCAATTAGGTCTTATATGCAACTAGACATTCTCAATATGTAATTAGGATCAAACTTATCTAACTCAAAATCAAGGCTATGCAACTTGGGTTATTTGATCCTTTTACCTCTCAAATTTATTGTCATCTAAAGTCAGGTCTCATTCTATAATTAACTTTTCAAATGGGGATTTATCCCCAATTTTTCCACTAACTGATGATTAAAGAAGTAGACTGAATAGGATAGTCACACTTGTTGGCTTTTTTGCATTTGTTTGAATGTTTATAGGCATTTTTACATGAGGCGAGAACTTGTTTTACATGCTTATCTCATACTTTTTCAGTCTTTAATGTAAGATTTAATTTAGAAGTTAATATTGGTGCTATATGTAAAACTTATTTCATGTATTTATTAATGTTTTTTCAAATTAATCCTATTAATATTTTTTAACAATAATCAAGGAGGAGAGGAAGGAAAAAAATTAACAAAGATGGTTAGGGGGTTTTACAAAGAGCATATCATATTAACTAATTTAATTAACACCAAATTAGTTAATTAGATTCTTAATTAAGGATCACAAGAGTATTTTGTTGATCACAATTGAAAAGTTGTTGGGTTGGCAATTGGAATTAAATAAAATAGGAATAGTTTTCAAAAAATGGTGAAGTTTTTTGGCTAAATGCTAAAAAAAAAATCTATATTAAAAAAGAAGAAATTGACCCTATCAAAAAATCTAATATTTTCAGACTACATTACAGTTTTATGATATTGTTCTATTGAAAATTTTGCATATATTGTGACGTTATTATGTTGACAATTAAATTTATTATATATATTGCATGTATGTAATAAATTTTTATTTAATTATTAATATTACCAGTCAACCATGAAAAAATTTCTTCCGTTTCATGTCTAATCTGAGTTTTTAAATTGTTATAACAAACAAGCAATCCATGTCTTCTTTTTGCCTCAAGCTTTTTTTTTGGACGGTTTGACCTCAATTGCCTTTTTTTTATAATAAAAAACCAGAAGTCAATACACTTGCCAAAGTCAAAGACCCTAATTTCCTTTCACAACCTCCCCCTCACTCATAGAAGGTGGTTGGCCCAGGATACAAAAAATACTCTCCATGAAATGAGAGAATTTAGCTAACTGGTCAGCAATAGGAATTTGTTCCCTAGTGGTATGTACTAGAGTAATCGTCCACTCCCTATGGAATAAAAGCCTAGCATCATCAACTACATCTTTAAACGGATAATTCTCATCACAACCTCTACAAAAAAGAGACATGGCATCTACACAATCAGTAAAAATCACAATCTTCCTGTAGCCTCTGCTCCAACAAAGTTGCAACCCATGAATCACGCCAAGAAGTTCTGCAACAGCTAGCAGTACAGATATAATCTTGCAACCAAATTCCCCAATCCATTTCCTTGACTGTCCAAGCAGTACCACCACAACCACTTCTGCCATCTTGTAAGACTGATCCATCCACTTCCAATTTGGTAAAATCATCCTGGAAATGGTTGTTACAGTCTTTTACAACGTGAGTGGTATCGTAGAACTTACATTTGGTTATTAAATCTCTATCCCAGCAAGCACGGAATAGACTATCATGTGCATTGATCACATTACCAACTATTCCAGAATCAAACAGCTCGTTACATCAAGAAATCTAGATGTCCCAACATATATAATCAAAGAGAGTCGACCATTGGATCTCTTTTGTGAAAGAATAACCTGCCTCTATAGTTAAATTCCATTTGATCCATTCCGCTCCCTGTAAAGTAGTGAAACTAGATCAAAATTGTGGATCGACCACTGACTTCCACTTGTGAATAGCATTGGCACAATTCCTCAGCAAGTGCATAGAGTATTCCTCCTCATTGCATCTAAAAGGGCAATCTGCTGTTCCTGCAAGTCCTATTATGCATCTCAAAGCTGTTGTGTGGGCTTGAACATGTGAGAAAAGCCTCATAAAAGAATGAATCTTTTTGGTACTTGCCATCTCCAAAGGAGCTTCCAGATGTTGTCCTCCTGTCTTCAGTGACTTGCAAGAAGAAAATTGTAGGCGGATTTAACAGTAAAGCGACCATCAGTTGAGGGCCACCAAAAATATTTATCCTCTCCTCTCTCCTCATCAGGTGAGTGTGCAGAAGTGATTCGGTTCGTAACATGTTAAGGAAACCAATAGTTGAGTTTTTACATATTCCATTCCCCCAATGGGGTCACATAATCGATCACTCCTTCCTCCTTATCCACCCAACCTTCATACCCTAGTATCAACTCAAGAAGAGGCCTGTTCAGTTCTGACGAGTTGTCGAACCAGAAGGATGTAGACATGCCATTACTAATTTTCTTGGCTAAACCGTTTTTAAAAGAATGCCAAACTTATCAGATACCCTTCCAAGTCAAGGATTGTTTGGCAGCTTTTTGAACATTTGGTAAAACCATGTTACCACAATTGTATTTGTTTTTCAGAACCTTGACCCATAACGCTTCCCTGTCGTGAACCAAGTTCCGGCAAAGTTTCATTAGAAAACCCTCATTCTGCTTCTTGTGATTTTTGATCCCTAAGCTACCAGCTTTCTTCTCTTGAATAATGTGTTTCCAAGCTAACAAGTGGAGTTTCTCAGTATTATCTTTTTCATTCCAAAGAAAATTTTTGCTCATTTTCTCTAGGTCCTTGATCAGTTGTTTTGGTAACAGCATGGTTTGCATGTGATAGGAGGGTAGGGCAGATGGAATTGCCTTAATAAGTGTAGCTCTATCAACTAGATTCAGAAAGTTTCTTTTCCATCCTACAAGCTTCTAGTGGGTCTTTTCCAAAATTGGAGCAAAAAGAACATAGGAGGGTCTTTTATGTATGAGAGGAATTCCCAAGTACTTTCCCAGGTCGCCTGTTCATCCTACTCCCATCCTCTAATTCAAATCCAAAGCCCTAGATATATGAACATTCTGTGAGAAGCATATTTTTGTTTTTGCCCTATTCATCATCTGCCTCGAAAACTAACAGAATTTACTCACACATTCGTTCATCACATCCACCTGATAAGAGGAGGCCTTTCTCCAAAAAGCACCAAACCATCTACAAAAAATAAATGATAGACGAGGACCTTGCGAGCATTAACTATTAACTACTTTAACTAACATCAAATTAGTTAATTAGATTTTAATTAAGAATCAGAAGAGCATTTTGTTAAGCAGAATTGAAAGTTGTTGGGTTGGCACTTGGAATTAAATAAAATCGGAATAGTTTTAAAAAATGATGAATTTTTTGGCTAAATGCTTAAAAAAATTATATTAAAAAAAAAAAGAAACTGACCCTATCAGAAAATCTAATATTTTCAGACTACATTACAGTTTTATGATATTGTTTTATTGAAAATTTTACATACATTGTGACGTTATTATGTTGACAATTAAATTTATTACATATACTGTATGTATGTAATAAATTTTTATTTAATTATTAATATTACCAGTCAACCATGAAACGATTTCTTCCGTTTCATGTCTAATCCGAGTTTTTTAAATGTTATAACAAACAAGCAATCCATGTCTTCCTTTTGCCTCGAGCTTCTTTTTTGGACGGTTCGTCAACTGCCTTTTTTCCAAAACACGTGCTTCTGCCACTTTTTAATTTTTTATTATTTGCTTCCGTTTTCTTTTTGTTACTTTAATTTCTCATTAAATAGCGCATCACTCGCCTACCTACCTACCTTCCAGCTAAAAAACATCTTATAATAATATGATTGATCTGCAAGGGAATATCCTTATATTATTCTCATTGGATTATCAATTTTTATTAAGAACTTCTAGATTAGTCTTCTTCTGATTGCATACAATACATATTCAGAAATTTGACAATTTATTTTTTAAATATTTCATGCAAAATTCACTAAATCAACCATGTTATTCGTACTTGTAAATCTGGCAACAAATCATTGCGTTATTTATGAATTACACCATAATTTGAGATACTGAGAGATTACAGTGTTAGATATAATTCAGAAAAAGTAACATTAAGGTGATATCTTCATAAGCTAGATGCTTAACTTCATCATCTTCTTACGGTATGATCTTCATGCATTATACAGAGTCTGAAAGTTTTATAACTCATAAAAAAAACTAAAGATACTGTAACTTTGTTAAGTCTTTATTTACTTGAATCGCCTTGGTCAATATATATATGTATATGTAGTTGGCAATAAATATATATAGATATAGGTACACACGCAGTTGAATTGAAATTCTTGTGCAGTATAGTGAGTGTGGAGTGAAGTGATGAAGGAGGAGGAGAAAAATGAGGTCAAACGCGCTGGTAAGAAAGCGAGTAGTCTGAAAAGTCAGCCAAAGTCTCTCTCTTCTTTTTTCCAGGTCGTCAATGGTGACTGCTCTTTCACTAACCAATCGCGTATCAGAATTTTAGTATCACAATCCTCTGTGATGAACATCTTATTTTTTCAACTTAAAATACTGGTCCATTCATAAATAGTTGCATCACATGAGTATATATAAATCATCTTGATTTCCTGCATTCTGTACTACTCTCTTTCCATCGCCGCCGAAGTCTTTGCCATTGGTGAAGGCACAAAGCTGGCGAAACGCATCAGAAAACCCGTGATCATGAATAAAGGAAGCTTAGGTCCAAATCTCAAACTCACAGTCCCTGCATCTGATCAAGTTTCTTTCGCCAAGTTCCTGTAAGTCTTTCTTTGGGTGTGTGATTGTTTCTATTCGCGAAAGAATGTGTTCGTATTGTTTTGAATTTGTCGGATTGGAGTGATCAGTACGTAATTGTGTGAATATGGTAGAACTGAGAGCGGGACCTTCCAAGATGGGGATCTTCTGGTCAACAAGTATGGCGTTCGAATTATCTCTCACAATGAAGTTGAAGCTGTAAGATATTTCTCTCCACTTGCCCCTCTTCCTCTTTCATTCTTACTTTTATTTTATTTGATTTTATGGATTTATTTTTTTATTCGGATTACTCACGTGTTTGTTTCTTTTGCTGCATTTCTATATGCTGAAATGTTGAGGGACTCCTTAAATTTGTAGTTTCCTTATTTTGAATTCCAAAAACCAGATGGGAATTATTTATTTGTAAAGGGAAAGGCAGTGAGTCATATAGAGGATGTATCCTTTTATGTTCCATATGTCAATGTGCTCATTAGAGTGTTCGGTTTTTTCTGGGAGGCAGGGGAGGTCGGGTGAATTTTGCATGGTTTCATAGCTTTTGCAGTTGTTTGGAACTCGGAAATGTTGATGAACATAATCCTTTATCAATTTTCTAGTTTTATTCATTCTGTCTTTGACGTGGTGGATAAGCTGCATGCTTACGAAGTGAAAGCTTGAGCTCAGTAGACATCATGCAGTAGAGGAGCAACCATGCACTTTCACTTTTATGCCAGTGTTTCCATTTATTTTCTCGCCAGACTTGGGGCAGTGAATAATGATTTGAATTCAATCATTGAACACTTTCTTTGCGAGCATTTTTGTGTGAATTGTCACTAGTCAGAACCTATAGAACACACACACACTCCACCTGTTTTTCATTTGTCATATTAGTTTTAACGAACTAACCTGTGTATCTTAGCAAACTGTAGAATTAGATGAAGGGAAACCATCAATTTACCACCATATGTTAAAATATCTCCCGTGCGAACTTATATTTGGTGGAAATCTTTAATCTAACAGATCTTCATGCTGTCCGATTTTTTTGCCCCTTATGGATTAACATCTTTGCTATTAATATCAGCCACCCCCTATCAGGCCAATAGACAACCAGTTAAGTCTGGAAGACCTAGACGCAATCAAAGTGGTTGGAAAAGGAAGCGGAGGTACAGTGCAATTGGTGCAACACAAATGGACTAATCAGTTTTTTGCATTAAAGGTACGCTTGCTGGCTGCCGTGTATAACCTTGCTGGAAATTTCATCTTCTGTTCTCTACTCTTTCATAGTTTGTGGTTAGTTGTTCCCTTTATCTTCGAATTTTCTTCCAAGTAACATTATTTCAAAGGTTATTTAATTCTCATCCTTCATGCCCCCCCCCCCAAAAAAAAATATTCACTCTAATTTCCTCAGCCTGCTTCAGTTAGTGTGATGTTTAAAACTTGTTTCCTCCCTGCAATTTCAGTGTAATAAAAGAGCACTTACCTTGAGTTTTAGAATATGACGTTTATCTTGACAGCGTACTATTCATATGGAAAACGCTTGTTTATTTTTAGTGATAACTTGTTGCAGTACATTCATGTTCCTCATGTCAGACACGTCTTTCTTTACGCATGATTAAATCTTTTGATGTCTCTGAACATGATTGAGATGCAAACCTATTTCCTGGAAACTTCTCAATCTTAATCAATCATTCGGTGGAATAAGTTTAGCTTATCATTCCAGGATATCTATGAGAAGCTCTTCCTTCTTTTTCAAGGAAAATGTACCCATTCATTTCTTTAAATTTCTTTCGTGAGTATTAATTGGATGCATTTATTAGTTTTGAAAGTAGAGCAACATAGGAATAATGAATATCATGTTGTTCTTTCTGTTTCTGACATTCATAAACTATTAATCTTTATTTGCCTGTATAGCTTATTTATCTAGTTTATTAGCGTGAATTATTCCTTCCTGAGTAAACTGATTATCATCAACTTGAACCCATAACAGCATATCACAATCCATTCATAAGTTAACCTATGGACATATCATATAAGGTTTGTGCACGCATGCCGATGTGAGTTTCTACTTAAATTTGTAAAGTGATGTGACTAATGCTAGTCCATATTTATGGATTTATAAAATTTCAACACATTATTCTAATTTAGGTCCCTCATTTTATGAAAGTTTTCCTATTATCTGATTTGTTGACCATCTCAGTCATTACTTTATTCATTATTTTTTATTGTGTCTCCTCCATTTAGGTAATTCAAATGAATATTGACGAGTCTACGCGCAAGCAGATAGCACAGGAGCTGAAAATTAATCAATCAGCTCAGTGTCCCTATGTTGTTGTCTGTTACCAGTCCTTCTACGAAAATGGTGTAATATCAATCGTCTTAGAGTATATGGATGGAGGGTCTCTGGAAGATTTTCTGAAGAAAGTGAAATCAATTCCAGAGCCACACCTTGCTGCCATTTGCAAGCAGGTGAGGAGTAAAGATAATATTTCAGTTTTACACATATAGTTATTTTACTGAATATCAAATAAGACCTGTGTTTTTTTTCCCCCTTTCAATGTAGGTGCTGAAGGGTTTAACGTATCTTCACCATGAAAAACATATTATTCACAGGGACTTAAAGCCTTCCAATTTGTTGATAAATCACAGAGGGGAAGTAAAGATCACTGACTTTGGCGTCAGTGCAATCATGGAAAGTACATCTGGTCAGGCTAACACTTTCATTGGAACACGCATCTATATGTCTGTGAGTAAATTATTGATGTTTATATATCATTTTCCTCCGATCATATTGTGATACTGCTAGTTCTTGGATATGACTTTGTTCATTCTGCTTGATTTACAGCCTGAGAGAATCGATGGATTCCAGCGTGGCTACAACTACAAATGTGACATATGGAGTTTGGGACTAATATTGCTCGAGTGTGCTACAGGGAGGTTTCCATATAAACCGCCTGATCAAGGGGAAAGATGGGAAAATGTTTTTCAGCTTATTGAATCTGTCGTTGAAGCTCCTCCTCCCTCTGCTCCACCTGATCAATTTTCTCCAGAGTTCTGCTCATTCATATCAGCATGGTAAGTATAGAGTTTCCTTGTATAAAATCTCTAGAATCTTGACGTGCTAAAACTACGGAAACCCCTCTCCGGGGGAAGGAGATGCTTTAAAATACTAGAAGCTTCTTAGCTATCTCCTGAAATTAGATGGAATGATTGATTGTCCTTTAACTTTGAAGTAAAACAAGTAGATAGATGCAAGGCTATGGTCAAATATTTTATTTTCGAGAAAAACATCATTTGGGTCTCTGACAAATTGATGATTAATAAAACTCAAGGCAGAGTTATATTGATGATTTTTCTTTTTCTCTTCTTATAAATTTTTGGATTCAGTTATTGTAATTTTTTTTTCCCAAGGAATGAATTGATGGAACATGCATTTTTCAGGACTTGGTAGTTTAGATTTTAACATAATCTATCTTTCATGACTTCATGGAACCAGTCTATTTTTCAATTTAAAACATGATGCCTTACCTTTTTTTTCCCCCCTTCCTTTTCATAAAAGTTCCTTCGCTGGGTGCTTATTTGGTTCCTGATTCTCATTTTTCTATATCCTATATGTTCAGTTTGCAGAAAAATCCGAAGAATAGATTGTCAGCTCAAGAACTTTTGGTATGTGTAAATCTCATTTATTGGTATACCCTGTATTAAAGATAATGTATAGAACTTTGCTCTATTCAATTGCCATTCTAATATAGCATCTAATTTGAAACCCAGAGACATCCATTTATCAATATGTATGAGGACCTGGATGTGGATCTTTCAGCTTACTTCTCCACCGCAGGATCTCCGCTTGCTACTTTATAAAACTTACTAGGTGTGTTTTACCTTTAATCCTAACCTGTGTTCTGACTTGATGGTAAATGCATGTTCTTTTTGCTTTAAGTATAAATTATACTGTTGAATGTAGTGCCATTTTATAATTACTACCTCACATAGCGCTGACTTAGTCTTCCAAGTTGAACTACACCTGATGTCTTGGGCTTGATCACTCCTCCTTCCTAAATCATGCACTTTCTATGTAAACTATATAAGCCCTGCTTAGGCTCTAAAACATTATATGGCCACATGAATCTTCAATTGAAAAAGGCTATTGTGTTGGAAGCTAGCTGTATTAGGTTGCTTGGGAGGAAGAGACATTCTTTGTGGAACCAATATCGTCCATTTACTCATTGGGTTTTGACAATTGGATCCTTTCTATTGCATTTGGTGTGAGACAGTAGTATAAAAGAAATATGTTCACAAAAAAAAAAAAAAGAAGTATGATTGATTTTATGTGAAATTCACACCCCTCCATCTTTCGCTATATATATGTGTATTTACTTATTTGAATATATTTGATATAGATTGATTGGTGCTGATATTTTTTCATAAACGAAATGACCGGTATGAAGGATTGATCTAGTTTGTATGCAACTTTTCCCTGCTAAATATTTCTGGATAACCTGAGTGTCTTCGAAAAACTGATATAGCTTTACACTGGAAGTCATTGCACCCTATGGTAGCAGACGCACAGCCTGTTATATTAACTGTACTTTCAACTCCTTTCTGTGTAGAATCACTGCCCGTCTGCAGATTAGAGTCACAGAAACAAGCTTCTAGGATTGGTTTATGAAAGTGACTTTGAGTGATTGAAATTCCAGATTTTGTCGGGAGATTCTTGTGGATGCAAGTGCCATGAGATCTGCGATGATTGGCAATTCACGTAGACTCTCAATGCTGTCGTTTAGAATTAGGGCCCACTTTGAAGAAAAAGTTGTGGAATTATATGATTGTAATGAAAGTTATAACTGGTACATGCCTTGTATACAGATTATATGGGTTACTGTACAATATTATAAGACATGGAAAATTTTGTCAGGCTGTTGCAGAGGCATGTTTCAGTTTACATTTGGAGGTTTTTGAAATTGTTATTCCATAGAAACTAGTTTTCCAAGTTCAATTCGAGATTATGTGCTCCATCAAGTGACAGTTGGGATGTTCTTCTGTTAATTGTGGTTGTATTTGAAACGATTAAGCCTTGTTAATGCAATGTACAATGCATGTTTTGATCATTTGGGCTTCTAATTGACTTTCATTATTAATAATTGTTTTTGAGGAAAGAAATAAATTTAATATTCTGATGTAGACAATGTTTCCCACTGCAAATCTGTACACAATACATAGGTGACTTAGCCCTGGTATAAAAATGAGGGGCTAGATATGCTACCAACTAATGTAGACAATATTTCCCTGGAAAAAAAAAAGAAAAGAATAAACTAAACATGAATAGACATTGAAGAATGTCAAACACATATTTGAACAGTTATATGAAAAGAACTCTCAAGAAATTGAGTGCTTTCTGTTTCCATTATAAGATATACTTTGAGATTCTCATTCTGGAAGTCCTTTACCGTTGGACTTGTATCATTCTTTGGAGAGCTCCTAAAGTCAGATGATATAATGCAAATTATCTTGGCAAAGATACAAATCCAATAGTAAAATAAGATTGATCTCTTTGAAGGTATTACTTTCAATAGCAACACCCTTTTTAATCAGAAATATGAGAATCTCCAGGCTAGTTTGGCATAAATGGGAATAGGAAAGGAAAGGAGAATGAGAAAGCTCTCTCCCATAAATATAAGAAGCTTTTGTCAAACTTAATACAACTAAAAATACTTTCTATCATCTTTTCCCTTTCCTCAAATCCCATTTTCATATGCCAAACACAGCCATAAAGTAAATCTAACAATGAAAATCCTCAACCTCTTTCAGAAGAGGAACTCTTCATATCCCACGTTTTTAATGCAGGATCCATTTCTGCCATAGTTCTATGTATTCATTTTTAGTTTGTTCTACTTATTCATCATCTTCTAAGAGATGATAGGTAGATATGTTTATGCCTTTGTCTTAAATTTTCTTTGTGCCTTCAAGTCTACCACAATAACAGATATGTTATCTTTACTTCCCCTTTGAAGGGCAAGTCTGGATAGATACTCTGCAGCAAACTGAGCTGCAGGATCTTGTTCAGCAGATCCTTTGTTGTTGCCATTGGCATACTTTTTGTGCCAAAGAAGAATCCTGTTTCTTGCAGCCTGGCAGGCTTCTTCATTTGTCATGACATCCCATAGACCATCACTGGCTATAATAAGGCACTCGTCATTTTTCTCTCTAAGGATAAACTCTATTTCTGGTTCAGGAATTATCCATGGTTTCAAATATCTGTCACCTGGCGCAGAGGAAGCAAATTTGAACTAAATCTAAATGAGTCAAATGAAAGCCAATAGAAACAAGGCGCAGGAAGAAAAACCCTTTAATTCCCTTGATCTTTAATTTAATCCCTTAACCCAAACAAGTATCACACATACGCCAAATACAATTCAGAATACAAACGCAAACCCTAACAAGTGACAAAACTTGAAACAATCATGTTTGATTTGAAAACTCGTGTTATGCCTATGCTCCACCATTCCTTAATCAATCCAAATATTTTAAGAAGTGGATCATGACAAGTAATTTTTCTTCTGAGTAACAAGTCTGCAGTAACAAGCAAGCACATGATATCAAATCTAAAGAATAACAAGCACGTAGTTGTAGAAACTCTCTTGCGTTATACTGGATAATACAAACTCGAGAGTTTAAAAAGGTGCCGTAAAAGCATACCTATGGACCTTGACACTGCCAAAACCCCTAGAACTCTGTACCCATTCCACTGTATAATCCTTCCTCCTGCAGCTTCTATTCTTGCCCACTCATCATCCCTATTTGGCTGCAAACCATATAAAAGGGAAATTAATCAGACAATGTCAGCTTCAAGTGCAAGTCCTACAAAAATTGAGAAAGGCACCATGTGTCCATTAGGTATTATACAAGAGAATATCTCATAATTACATTTAATCACTCTTTTCTCTCTATCTTTCTTCGAATGCATTATCCTTATCATTTGTGAGTATAGAGGATTCAAATTGAACAATATTTGTATCAGGGAAATTCACACTGTTAATTTCTTAAATATCTGTAAATGTATAAAGTTGTGTCCTACTTTGTGGTCAGTAGACAATGGAATGGCTTCTTTTCCGCGACACAAGACTGCTCTTGAATCCCCACAATTTGCCACTATTATGTGGGTTTGACTTAAAATGGCTACCACTGCAGTAGAACCAACAGTTTCAGGAGCAAGAGGTTCAGAGCTAGGCTTAGATCCATGATTGTTATCTTCATTATTAGCTTCACTTTTTCCGTCAACTTCATCATCAACTTTCTGGAAACACTTGCAGAATGCTTTCCTCCAGTGCTCCTGCCAGTTGTCTCCCAAGCTTGTTCTGGCAGCATCTAGCTCCTCAATCAACACTGAATGGAGACGTTCCCGACAGTAGTTAGCAACCTGTGAATCCAAGAATTTCCTCTCAATTAGCGTAGACCTAGCCCATGTTTATCCGTTACTCAGCCTCTAATGATGATATCCTAAATCAGGTTTTGTTTAGCCTACTCTTGTCCAATAATACAGGGGAATCTATTGGACTTTGAGTCAAACATGGATTTCGGTCTAAGTAAACATATGCAGAAAAGAATACAAGAATTCCATTCTTTTGTGTCATTCTCTTTCATGAATGCAAGGTATATTATTCTGAAGATCTCAATTCCTTAAACCCGGTCAACCTGGGCTTTTATAGTCTTTTTCTTAATCCCAAAAGAATACCATCAGTTAAATGAATTAACTTCTGTAAACCAGACTTTTGGTATCATTTAAAAACAGTAAATATTAAGGCGTACCTGGCATCCCCCATGTCCATCATAGACACCAAAAAAGTGGGCTTCTGAGTATCTTGGGTTTTCAGTCACATGGTTTTCCATTAGCATCTGTGAAGGAACTTGCAAGAATTGAGGCTCAACTGCAATAGCATCTTCCATCTCATCTCTCCTTCCACAGATTGATGAAAATCCCCAAAGGGCCCCACTATTCATTTCTAATCCATTCGGGTGGCTCCTGCATATTTTCTCCTCTGACATCGCAAGAAGCGAATCTGATGGTTTAGAATCACACCCATCTGATCCGCTGCCATCATAAATCTCAATATCCACTTCAACAGAGACCACTTTCTGCACTGGCTTTAGTGCTATATGTTCTTCAACCTCGATGGTACTAATTGGTGGATCAATCTCAGAACAATTAGTTCTTAAAGTTGAAGATTGGTCCCCTGCAACAATTTGAGAGCTTGAATCATTTGGACAATGAAAATCATCATCGTCGCTTTTCTGATTGTTGGTTTCATTCCCAATCCATCTTCTGTGACGTTCAATAGTCAAATCTGACACAAGAGCATCTCCAACTTGATTCTCCTTTTTTTCTGCAGATACAGTAATCTGATGTTGTGAACTTAAACCCCTTTGATTTTCACAATCCCCCATTGCAGGATTCAAAATCAAAGCTGCTGTATTAGCCATAAGCTTCAACCCAGATATCTCCATGTGGGTTGTTACTGATGACTCCTGAGTCAACTTCCCAAGTGTAAATGGCACTGCAACAGTAGAGGATATTTCCTCCATAGCCTTGCTTTGCATTGTAGCAATAGCTTTTATCCTCTCACTCCTTCTAGGATTCTATATAATCTGCCAGCTTTTACCTACTTTTTCTCCATCCTTTTTCACAAGCCTCTTTTATAGAACATGGTTTCATTCCGACAAAGAAACAGACACCTAGACGGCAAGAAATTACAGTAGGAGCTTATAACAAAAAACCCATTTAAAATTTCGTTATTTAAGCATCTAAGTTCAAAAAACTATTGTTGACACAGCGAAGCTAGATGCTAGAAATAGAAAACCTATAGATTTCTATTTTGAAATTCGACCAGCCAAACAATGATGAACAAGTGAAGCTCCCAAAATCTGACACTTCCACCTCCTTACCAAACCTCTTATTTCTGAAATGGCAAAGGCAAAAGATGACTCAAGAGCTGAATTATTTAAAAAAGAAAGGTTGACATATGCAAATGGGAGTAATGAGGAAGAAAAATTGTGCAAGAAACCTGCAAAAGAATAAAAACAAGAAGAAAAAGTTCCCTCCATGTGAGGCAACCTCCATCAACCATTGAAAACTTCACTAAGGTTCTCCATTGAATTACTTCCATGTGTCAAGTGCAAGTGAGGTCACCACCCCCTTTGATAACGACATTTTGAGCTTAAAAAGATTTTTTCTTTCTAATGGAGAAGTTGGTCTGATGAGTTGTTTATTGCCGATTTTTATAAGGTCATGTAAAAGATTGGAGCTTTAATATAAATTTTTTATAAGTTATTCACATACACGTAAATCTCAAGAATATTTAAATAACAAAAGAAAAGATCAAACTTTGGCATAACGAAATCATCGAAACAAACAATAATATTATTGTTCGTGTCAACCCTCACCGCCCACAGGCCAGTGAGGCTAATTACGCCTAACATTCTTTTTTTAATTCAAAGATATTAATCTTTCAAGTTAATCGCTTTGGGAGCTGGAGAATCATGTAGTCTTGAGTTCGTACCTTATTGAAAGAATAGACCATTTAAAAATTGTCATTTAATTTGTTTTTTAAGTAAGTGGAGGAAAGCATCAAATTTAAGTTCATTTAAAACTTATAATACAATTTACCTAAAATTATTAGTAATTTTCATAATACGCACACAATTTGGTTGCATATTTTGAAGTTTTATTATACAATTTTCTGAAATAGAAAGAAGTTAAATTCATTCTAAAGAAATTCTATAATTTTTACTTTAGAAATTTCCCATTCCTTTCAATTGTAAGTATAGGATGTTAATTTTGATGTAAATTATCTAGGCGAAATTTAGATAATCCAAATTTTATTTTTTTTAATTATGATTTTTTATTTTCATAAAAATAAACCAAATTTCAACACATTTTTTTTATTGTCAACAAAAAAAAAATACATATTTTATTTTAAAAATATTACTCCCTCCGTTCCTTATTATAAGAGACGAATAACCGATTTACGTTGATAAAAAAACAGTTAAAATTAGTTAAGAACAATCAATGTGTAAAAAGTATAATTTTTTTTCCAAAACTGCCCTCATTAATAAGGAGAGAGAGCATGAGAGAGAACAATTAAATTATTAAAAGAAAAAAAAGTGGTAGGGAGAGAGAGTGTGAGTTGGAGACAATAAATATGGGTAAAATAGGAAATCAACAAAAAAAAGTAGAGACAACTTTTAAGTGTCTCTTATATATAGGAACATGTCATAAGCATCAAATGTCTCTTATAATAAGGAACGGAGGGAGTATCATTTAATTTTATAAACTAACATGAAAAAATAGGATATATGGTCATATATAATTAAAGAACTTCACATATTTAAATATTTTTCAAGATAATAATAATTCTAATGTTCAGATAATAATAACCATTATTAAAAAATAAGTACTACTCGTTGCATAAATTATTACATCAAATAGAGAGGTGACAGTTGGCGCGAATGACAACTACACTTTTGGGTTTGGTGCTAATCAATCACTGTTCCTCATCGCCACGTGTGCCCTTAATCGGATCCTCACCCGCCGACCGTATCTCCTTTGCCTTTTACTTATTATGTTCTTGAAAATATTATAAGTGCCAATATGGTATCAATCCATGACACGTGGATATCCCAGGGTCCAGAATATTCTAAAACTTTTATGGAGCTAAATTTTCCACATACAATAATTGCGGGTGACAATCATAGCATAGTTAATATTATTATTGACTGATTTTGCTTGTATTTAATTTTGCCTATTAACATAGAAGTCTTCAAAATAAATATTTCACTATGATCTTTCTCATTCTTGATATTTGAATTTAGTACTTTTTTTTTTTTAAGTTTTCACTCAACCAAACTATCAAACAAACACTTTCTTGCACAATTTAATACGACAAATTCCTGAAATTAATTCTTTCATTTAGTCAAAAATTGCAAGTTTATTTCTTCATACCTTATAAATCTTCCTTTTTAGTATTTAGTGTTGATTAAAATATTTGGGCATCTGTTATGGGTGCTTGTCATACAAGATTAGTTCCTTTTAGTGACCCGTTGTACACCCAAAAAAGAAAAAAAATTTGGGCACTTGTTAAATTTTGTCACAATAATTAAGTTTATATTAATTGAATTATTTACATGTTTTTACAAATTAATATAACAGAGAGGTATATAACGACATTGACAATATAATAGCATGAATGAAGCATCCAAGATCCTGGACACCTAACTTTTAACCCCCCATGTTGACTTTAAACAAACAATATATACTTTTTCGATGAAATAAACAAACAGTATATATGAACAAGTTGAATCATATAAACAATTCTCTGAAAACCTTCGGTCATCTGTAAATAATCCCTAAATTTCAAAATCAACAACTATGCTCTGAAACTTTCCCCGAACTAAGTTTTTTTTTTTGGTATGGCTATTTGATTGGATCAGCATTATCAGGCCCAATTGGATACAGCTTTTAAAAGGATGTTTTCAGTTTTCTGCGTGCACATGAAAAAAAAAAAGTCATGTGCCCAAAAATAAAAAAGAATTCAAACTCAAGAACTCGTGCTCATAGCTTAGGCAGCCAAAACCTTTTTCCCCATCACCAATGCCTCTTGGTAAAAAAGTTAATTCTTAAACAACTCATATGAACAAGTTGAATCATGACGGTTAAACAACTTATTTAAAACTTTCGAAAATTAATTCTTAAACTTATATGAACAAGTTGAATCATGTGACTATGAAACAATTCTTTTAAAACTTCCGACCATCAATAATCAATAAATAATCCCTAAATTTCAAATCAGCAACTATGTTCTTAAACTTTCCTAACCTAACAAATATGTTTCTCGACACAAAATCAATTCATCTGTCACATCAAAGTCAATCCTCTCATAAACCAACTCGAACTAGGAGATTTCTGCGCCGCACATAATGAAATGGAATATACCAAACAAAATGATTAAGCAAAAGCATATACAGTCAACATGTAAATTTTGCAGCCAATTGTATGACAACTTGTAGAACATACTTGATCAATATTAGAAGCAACCATTGAACTTTTTTTTTTTTTTCCTGAAAAAAATTTCCTTACGGTTCATGTTTTATCACTCATCAATCAGAGGCAAGGGATGCAAATATGAACCAGAAATACATTTTTTCACACCTCAAAGGAGACATCAAATTAAATTAACAAAGGAGAAATGTCATTGCTAAATGCATTGGTGCATTCATGACTTTGTCCAACAATCGGACAATGTTTGTTTCCAAAACAAACTTTTTCATTAAATAATGTTCAAAGAATCAAAGGGCTCAACATGAATATCCCAAAAAATTGTTCGATGCTAATGGTAGTTGATGATTGAGCTGCGAAAACCTATTGTAATGCTCAGGGAACTCATGCACTCATAAACATTACAATATTGGAAACGCTTTGATAGAAAGAATTGAGGGTTTTGAGGTTCGGGTAATTCAGATAACATGCCAAAGCTGCTGAAATGAAAACCAGAAACCTCGTCATTTGTCCATTTCACAGGCCAAATCAGCTTGAAAAGCAAGCTGTTCGGTGATATTCTGAGGACTTCAGGCTAAAAACAGATCCACATACCTCGTACTGAAATTTCATTGTACGGCAATACATGCACCAACGAGTTCTGAAACCATGCAAAAATCACTTGAATTCGCAAGTGTTAAGCACTGACTTGCTTAATATTTCTAAAATCCCAAAACTTACCTCAATGCAGTTTTTCCAAATACGAGCATGTAAAGTATAGAAGATATTTACTGGGTCACGGGATAGAAAATTAACTTGCAGCCTAATGTAAAGGCAAATGGACGCCATCGGAAATCTGACCTTGATCTTTTTTTTTTAAAAAAAAGAAAATGGAGGGACAGACACTAATGGTCTGATGTTACAACTGAGATCAAACTCACAACCTTCTACTTGTCAGAAAGTTTCTATAACACTAGGCCAAGAGGCCATTGGCGACTTTGATAATTGTCAATGATGTAGATCAGCTTGCAGGCAAGACTGTGCAACTATCATTCCATATATGTTATGTAATTCTGTTTATAGGAAGCTTTCATGCATTCAAAAACCATCAATACACAACAACTCATACTTAAGGCATGTCTGAAATGAAAAGCAGAGTTTTTTGGGAGTCAGAGGTCTACAGCGATTATATCAAACTACTCGACAGGTCAGTTCATCATTTTAATTCAATACAAGCCATTCATGCAGTGGACAAATCATTTGATGGGACCACAGTTTTAAAACATAAATAATCACATACAATAACAGCACCAATAGTCTATAAAACAACCAACCAATCTTGAATTCGCATAGAATTTCAACAAAAGGCAGGCTTAAGGAAGTAAATCAATAGTACAAGCTACATGTTCCACAGGAATTTTAACACAAAATCATAGCATTGTCTATCTCCTGAGGACATAACATATACAAACTCCAAGGGAAAAAGATGATCAAAAGAAAACATTCTTTAAGTTATAAGAGAGATGCAAGTAAGACAGACCTGCAATAATCCAAAGCTTAACTCCATGCATGAAAGGAATCTGCAACTCGATGGTTTCCAGAGAAAGACTTTGATGCGTATTCAGTTTCTCAGACCTTGTAAAATCATTGGAGATTTGTCCCAAACAAAATGTTCCTGCAATTGTCAGACAAAAGAATTCGTCCAACAGAAGAATAGCTTAAGTCAAAACGAACTAAAAGAATATGAGATGTTCCTGCAACCAGGTATGAGCTTTTCTGTACAGATTATATTACAAGCTCAGGTTATATTGTAATTCTGATTCCCTTCAAATGGTTTCACTACATCAGATTGTTACATACATCTGAAGTAGAAAAACCAAGGCAGCAGATTGACAAAGTGTGAAGAGCATTATCTGATGTAACATAGTCACACAGATCATTCCTCATCCCCCAGAGATAATCTGGATAAACTTCTGGA